CTTTAGCTGGTGTAGAAGTGAGACTAATAGGTCTGAAATCACCGACAGACTGAGCGTGCAAGACCTTTGGAATAGCGGTGACCAATGCTTCTTTCCAAAGCTCAGGAACCTCAGCCATCATGAAGGATACGTTGAAAATATGCGCCAAAGGTCCAGATAACGATGAGGCGCACTTACGGAAGACAATTGGTGGGATTCCATCATAGGGTTCAGAAGTCGAGGGTTTGAGGTGTTTGAGCAGCTCATAAACATCGGAAGGATGAAAATAGATGTTATCACAGGTGTAATGGAAATCAAGCTCACTGCAGTGCAGCCCTGTATAAGAACTACTCTGATTTGAAAAGGAGGTAGCAAAGTAATCACCCAAAGCGACCGCTTTACTACCATCACTATGGCAAATGCAACCATTTCCCTTCAACAGTGAAAGGCAAGCGGCAAGCACAGCGAACCAGACTTATTTTTTACTGACATAGACAAATAGATGCTTCATGGAAGAGCGAGATGCTAATTGCTCCTTCCTGGATGCCCGAAACTTTTTCAGGTTTTTTCACTTTTTCTTTCTTTTTCAGCTTCATGACATGCTGTAGCGGTGGTTGTGCAATGCCGTGTATTTCACGCCCCCAGCATAGTTTTGAATATTCCGAGCGCTTTCAGTCGGACAGGCTGTGAGACATGGGAGTAATGACATGTTGTGTTCATCACTGCATACATTTACAAGACGATCATGCCTCCAAGCTAGTATGTAATCATGAACGTCGGATTTTTTTTGCAACATCAACTGCTCGTCGCATCTCCCTCCCCTTGGCAACTGAAGGTTCCATCACACTTTGAGAAGATTCAAATTTCTTTTGTAATCACATCTATCATCACACTTTGAGAAGATTCAAATTTCTTTTGTAATCACATCTATCATCACACTTTGAGAAGATTCAAATTTCTTTTGTAATCACATCTATTAACCCCTTGAGTGTCACGTATAATGTTGCAAGGATTTTGATATAAAATGGCTTGGCTAATAAAATAACGTTAAGAACCTATGTCATAACACAACTGTCAGCAATTGACAAAAGTTCCATTATCTCGTCACGTCTGACTGTTCGTGAAAAAACCTGCGAATCACATTTCTAAGGTAATTGGCAGAAGAATGGGGCCGAGAGATCGGCAAGGCGTACGGATTATGCAGTTATGCATTTCCTATTCGTCGAAAGCATTCAGTTTGGCCCGTAAAAACTGTTCGAGAAACATCGTTACATCAGGTGTTTGGTTGGCTTCATATATTGATAAATAACGAGGATTGGCGGAAACAAATCGTTCTCAGCTCTAACAGGCATATTGTGCAAATAAATAACGGAGAGTAATCCAAGTAAATTAGAAATCAACAATAACGCAACTAGTTGTGAGTCAGTCAGAAACCTGTATTGTTCACGATTTATCAAATATCAATACGGCGACATTAATGCCACGTAAAGGCCCTACAGTCTGTACTTCCCTCTTGCAACCTGAACGGGCATTGCTAAAGGTAGATCCGATGTACTCATCGAGGGTCGCCACGAAAGCATGTCGCATCGTAAACTTTTCGTAACGTCCTCAACGTCTGAGGCAATTCCATGGTACGAACTAACCTGCTTTCAGGAGGCAAGAATAGGTCTGAGGACCTTATTACTCTTCATGTTTAACTTCAAGCCTTAGTTTTCCGAGCGTCGTTGAGATTCGTGTCACTAACTCATCTTTAACTGATTCAATTGTTCGCGACTCATAAACATCAGGAGGAATAGCAAAACACACGCGCAAATCGTCTCCTTTGCATAAAATATGATAATGATAATCAAGATCTTGCAGTGCAGACTTGATCTGAGCAATATACACGACCACCCAGGTGTCCTGGTTTAGTCCTTCAATCCTGCCATCTTGTCCTTCCCAGTAATGCGTTCCGGCTTTGTCGGGCACATAAACTGATGATTTTTGTAAGCAGTTTTTGCGCATAAGTTGACACCATAGATGGCATCGAGAGTCTGTTACATAACTGGATGCATTGTTTCAGCTCGAAACCTATTATTCCACGAAGATGCATCAAGTTAGAACATTCGAGGCCTTGTCACGCAGGTGTGCTTCTTGCAGGTGTCGAAACGCTACTAGTTTTTCCTCGAGTTCTGTGATCGCCATCGCTTGTTCGTCTGAATGTCTTCTCAACAACCGAATGTTCTCGACATGACATTCTTCTCTTGCACTATTGAACGAATGTGGTCATGATATGTTGTACAACCGAAACCTCTAAACACATCTTTTAGTTCTTCTTCCTTGGATAGCTCTTCGAAATCCTCAGAGTCACAGTAACGATGATGATATCCAAGATGGTCATTTGCGGATTGTGGAGACATAAGGCCAACAACAATCGTCCTTCAAGGCTAAGTGAGCATTCTTTTTCGAATCTTCTTTAATATTTTTCGAATCTTCTTTGATATTTTTTCTGAAAGACTTCACTTCTCGTCACTGAGATGGTTCTATCTTCTAGGTAGAGCAGTGTTGTGATTGCGTGTTTCTGTTTGTGCCTCGCCGACTTGTGAACAAGTGGGAATTAACCTGTGTGCTCTGGTGGAATGGTGGTTCAACTAATGACTACCGCAACGCGAATAACGACCAAAACAATCTGATATCAATAGAATACACCGACTCGGGCGCCACCTCAAACTTGGGTAATTAAACTTTATTATCTCATTAACGACATAAGCGATAATAACGACGGTAACTTTATTACATCACATTACATCGTAATTAATCTTAACGAAGTTACAAAGATTCACGGGTTACAACTGAACGGAACGCAACTGACATACCTGCGATAAGCAACCCGAAAATAGAAACCTGCACAGCTCAGACGAGATTTTCTATTAACGAATAGAATTAGTTGCAGTACATGACATGTTGCCGCACTCTTACACGAAGACCATATAGTGCGTAAAAGCCTGCATCTGTGATATGCTTCTGCAGAAGAGAAAAGAGAGTAAAATAGAGAGAGAGTATATCGAAATGACTTGCTAATTACTAGCACCTTAAGATATCAAGTAATCTGACGAGATGGTTTGCGATTAATCGAACATGCAATCAATTACAGGGCCAGAGGCCGAAGCCCGAAGGAGAGGGAAGGAGAGGGGGAACTGCAGAGCAGTAGCAGCTGTCCATTCGGCTGTCCTCCTTATACGGTGGCGGTTCCCGCGCGATCATATTGACGTAGAATTTGAACTGCATCCGTGCTGATCCACGTTCGTTCGTTCTCTCAGATCACATGGCGGAGAGCAACAAGAAAACAGTGACGATGACGACAGTACGTGAGTTTCAGCGGTGGTTCTCGGAGGCTGTTATTGACGGGAGGCAGTTTGCATCAGTTTTGCCCAACCCTTAGGTACCCTTTTTCGAGTTGAACAAACGTTTTAGTGATAGTTGATCGATTGCTCCATCTTCCCACAGCGTTCACAGGTTTTACCCTAGAGGTGAGATTGTAACCGGACTAGGGAAGCAATTATGACGCCCCCCCCCCTCCGTCGATAAACAGCGCCGTGGTTCTCATCTGGTGACCAGATCATAGATTCATATCCGTAATCGATTCCTAGATTTTTTTCGAATTTAGCTGAATTTAACTCATTTGTCTTAAAGGTAGAGCCCGCGTTCAAAAATCATGAGTTATGCGGCTCATATAGTAATAAAAAGGTAGCAAATGATTCCGTAGTGAAAGAAAGAAAATAAAGAAAATCTTGGGAAGTGCCCTATATAGAACCTAAGGCCGAATAACGTTGTAGGTATATGAGGCGAACAGAAGCCTTGGTCGCACGGGCTTCCATATGTTGGTATCAGCTGCTTTCCTCATCTCTTCACTCTCATCACTCCAATTGGAGAGGCATATCGGGAAGGCCCGCCAACTCACCATGGAGCTTTGAAAAGAGATCTAGGATAGATCGATAGGGTCTGGAATACCGTTCACAAGTATGGGAACCAAAACTCTACCTGCCATTTCGTAAGCGAGTTATGAGGTTTTTAGGTTTGCAGTGATGTTATGCCCGTGCATTAAAGGCAGTTGGCACGATAAATCCCCCAAGACGAGTAGGATTAATACGCCTGGCAGGACGGAATTCCGCGACCCTGAGCAGGCGCTGCATAATGCCTTTTCCAAGGGAGGTGCCCTTATAAGGGCCCTATCAAGCCACAACACGACCCAAACGCCCGCCACGCCCGCCCGCCCACAAATGGACGACCGTTCCTGACGCTCTAATCGATTCATTTGCTAAGCAAATTATGAAGCGAAGGGATTGGTATGAAGCGGCCGTGATGCTGCATGGATATATGAGTACACATATGCAGCCGTACCTTCGGTAGCGGTTATTGGCAAGATGCCTACAGGAAACTCGTCCAAAATTGATTTCTAACACATTGAGAACGGAGGCTCTTTCTTCGCAGGATTTTGACCGTTTCACTCCGTTCTTTCGCCATTTCCCCACTATATAGCGCCCTACTAGCATTTTAGGCCGAGCACCAAATCATCGTGCCAACTGCCTTTAAACTCATGGCACATAGCTTTCGCTTCATGCTTCCACAAGGATGACTGTAGCGCAGTAGTAAATCTCGGTCGGAGGAGCGGTAACAACCGGGTTGTTCCCAGCTGGTGCACACCTATGCTTATTCCGATTTTTTGATATTCTTTTGAAGTAGTACCGTATAAGCGAGCGCAGGTGAAGCAGTTGACACGACAGGCATCATACAGAGGATAACTGCAGTACAACTTAGGCACCTTCCTGGATAACAGCCCTACGCCTGCAGAGTCATTTCGACAGTCGTTAATTTCATTTTTGACTGTGTAATCAGAGTTTATGATTCGTTTGCAAGAAGAGCTATGCCCACTGCCCTTCCATCTTCGACGTGTTGTTCCCGATTGCCAAAACATGCGCATAATTTCGAAGTTGTCGGTCTAGTCTTTGATTGCGGCTAACAACGCTCCTTACTCAAAGGTAGTTGGACCTTCTCGAACACAGATATCACACCATTTTTAACTGAGAACTTGCGGCAGATCACATGCTTACAGGCGCCCTGGTGACCAGTCCGATGCTGATTCAGCGAAGATACGGCGAGCTTGAGACGACCCTACGTTGGGCAAGAGGTTGCAAATGTGACTCTTGAGCGATGTGGCTTCGACTACTGCTGCTGTTTACTTTGTCGTATCGAACATCTAATATATTCGGAGTGTTGCACTTCTAGCCTGTCGGGTTGGGGGATGTAACTTTCTTTTAGGAGCAATTTCGGCGCGCATTATGACTTTCGAGAGCGGGGGCATTTTACTTTCCATCTCATCACCGCCAGGAATACCTCTGCAGGTAGCTATTAAACACGTTCCGGACCGTGTGACACTTTTGGTGTGTACCTGTTTTCTCACCTCTGCGCCGATCCCATACAGTCCCACTTGCATTCTTAAGGTTGTCATGCTCGAGTTATCAGACACGTTTTCCAGGCCACAGATTACAGCATGATTTCATAGCAAAAAAGAAAGAAACAGGTCGAATTGCTGATTATCGGTTTGAGAAATAACGAA